CAACCAACTAAACTTGTGAGTCTTATAAGAAAGTCGTTCAGATACCTAGACGGTCCGTTCCCAATATTGCTCTTCAAAAGTGAGGTGCTTCCCTGATTTGAAGTACTGTCACCCCGTCTGGAGTACTGTCACCCCGCCTGGTCCCCGAGATATGCAAGAGACTGTCAGTTGATTAAAATCGTCCAAGTTTGTATGGCGAATCGTTCGTCTGAAATACCATCCATCCGACAGAACACGACGGAGTAAACACCACCCATCCGACAACACGACGGAGAAAACACCATCCATCCGACAGAACACGACGGAGTGAACACCATCCATCCGACTCACACAGCAAACCATCCAACTCTAAGGGTCAAGGTTCACCGCCCAGGGTTACCGCCAGGGCTCGACTGTATTGACCCCGTGTTCACAGAGGAAGTGCATGTCGAACTCACAATGGAAGTCTGCCCACTGGTACCCGAGGAGCCCGCCCACCAGGTACATGCAGTGCTGGTCTCCCCCGCTAGGCTGAGATGGGCCCCAGTTACTGTACGACACCAGCTGACCTGAGAGACACAGAGAGACAATGATAAATGAGAGATAGAAACACAAAGATAAACAGCAATAATAATACCGCCCACCTGTAGGGAACCACGCCCACCTGTATACACTTACCTGTAGGGAACCACGCCCACTTTCCACTATGGCCGTTGTCGGAGCCTCCAACCCAAACGCCGGTGTTGTGATGACCTGTAGGTGAAGGGACTCTCTCTCTCTCTCTCTCTCTCTCTCTCTCTCTAATGTATATATTAATCAATCTCTCGCTCTATCGCTCTCTCTCTTTAATATACTGGTCTCTCTCTCTCTCTCTCTCTCTCTCTCTCTCTCCACCTACCATTGACAGCCAGCCACTTCTTGATGAAATAGTTCTCCTGCAGCGTTTCTATGGTGGCCAAGGACACGCCGCTGCCGAAGGAGTGACAGAACTCAGCCGCACGGAACCAGTTGAGAGGAAAATAGCCGTAGAAGTAACAGCTGCCACCGACCTCATGTGAAACGCCATGGGACACTTGCTGTGAATCTGGTACTTGAGTGGACTGGTACCTGAGGTAGAGAGTGCAGAGAGGATGGTGGTCGATCTGTCTGTCTGTCTGTCTGTCTGTCTGTCTGTCTCTTCCTCTGAGAATAATATGTATGGTTAAGCAAGCTTTAGGTGTATAATTTAAGGTGTTCAGGTCCAATGGGTATAAACTGATGTGTGTTTACCTGCCGACACACACACACACACACACACACACACACACACACACACACACACACACACACACACACACACACACACACACACACACACATGTCATCATCATCATCTCCCAGAACAGAAATAATATACACACCTAAAAACACAAACAATAATCCATCTCTATCCCCCCCACCCCTGTTCCCATCCCCCGCCCTCCTACCCCCACCCTCACCAACCTACATACCTGGCCAATTACACCTCTTAATTGCTTTCTACACACAGTCTTACAATCGGTAATTTATTTGTCGGTCAATAAATCGGATGACTCACCGATAACTCACCATTGTATCGGATCAATCTGTCAGGAACGTCTTCTTGTGAGTAATCTTCAGCTTATCTGACTTACTTACCTGTAGGTGAATCCTCCCCAGGTGTGTCATTGATAATTGGGTCAACACCTGTAATGTTATGAGGCCAGACACATACTGTACACCTGTTCATTACTCTGGTTACCTGTCTGGCCCATATTTTAGGGGCAAGGGAGAGAAGGGGGCGGGGTGTGGTTAATATTCTTACGCTGATGATTCTACTCTTCACTCTTCACATTTTCCCCTTCCCGCTAACTCTCATACTAGATCTGTGGCTCTTCTTCTGCCCAACTGTTAGATAGGGTGGATTCAGAGGCATTTCGTCTTATTGACTCTCCTCCTTTAGTTGATAATCTCTCTTCTCTTTCTCTCCGCCGTAATGTTGCTTCACTCTCTCTTTTACAGGTACTTTAACGGGCAATGTTCGGTTGATTGGCATCCTGTGTACCGCCGGCAAGGCCGTGGGCTCGTAACACACGTCTTGCCCGCGGTGCCCACCGTTTCTCTGTGGATGTCGGTCACACTAGAATAACCCGTTATACTGTAGTACCTCCTTCTTTCCTCACACAGCCAAACTGTGGAATGTTTTGCCTTCTTCTGTGTTTCCATACTCATACAATCTGTCTCACTTTAAAAAGCTGGTTTTCCGTCATCTTCTTGGTGTAGATAACACACTCTTTTTGTACCTGTATTTTTTATTTTTTTATCGTCCCCCCAGTTGCCGGTCGGTGCCCAGCTGGGCTATTCCCCGTAAAACACCCGCCACGGTTTGTCATAAACAGATGAATTCTATAGAAATTCTCTTCCTGTCACTATATGTAACTTGCTGACAAAACCAAATGGCGCTTTAGGTACTTGCGTCCTTAATGTCTAAATCACGAAGGCAAGCATGAACTCCGTATGCTTTCCTGTTGGGCGCTGTAAACGCTTTTGCGCTTCACCTTGCACAGGATGCAAGAGGCTGGTGTCCAATAAACTAGCCCTCTCGTGGGGCAAATGTGTAAAAATCTGAAACACACACACACACACACACACACACACACACACACACACACACACACACACACACACACACACACACACACACACACACACACACACAGAAAGACAGTATAAGGCTATATACCTGGCAGTGAAGGGCCGTACAGGTGAGTGTTAATGACTGAACTGTTTACCTGTGGCGTAGAAGGTGAGGTGGGAAAAGGCGGAGGGGGAAGGAAGGAGGGCGGAAACGGGGGGAGGGAGGGAGGGATGAGGAAGGGCCAGTAAGGGAAGGAGGTGGTGGGGAAGGGGGACAACTGGTGGGTGTTATTTATTAGTGCACACACACACACACACACACACACGGTGACGCACTTTATGAAATGCTTCTTTATATATTCTCATTAATGTCTCATTGTTTGTTATTCGTGTGTATGGGTGGGTGGGGTGGTAGTGGATGAGGTGTTAATGGCAGAGGTGGGTGTAATGATAGCGGTAGTGGTGGTGGTGGTATGTGGTCCAAGTGTATAAAACAATAAATATTCAACACTCACCACCATTAACCTAACCACCCCCATCTTACCTTCCTATTGAATACCGTAACACTTAACTCTATACAATATATTTAGGTCACCTCACACTCCTTTGTCCACTGAACCGCTGAACACGAGTAACCTCAACCATTGTGTTATAGTTACTGCTCGTATCCGTTTTCTCTTACATTTTCTCTTACTATATTTTCTTAGGGGAAACTCTTCTAAACTTTCCAACTGTAACATTAGCCAATCAGCATCCGTATTCGTATCCTCTTCGTCACTGATTGGCCTGTTAGCTACTTGGGAGGTCGGTTATGGTTCTGTTACGTACTGTTTATGAACATATGGAGTCAATGAGAATCTGTATGACGATATTACTTTCTATCTTTCTATCTATCTTTCGTTTACTACAAACATGACAGGCAGCCGACATCGGTCACGGGTCTGCAAAATATTATCCGTAAGCCACTGATCAAATTTGTTTATGATAACAGTAATAGAAATACAGTTAACGTGACGTAATGATAAAGGAACACCCAATGACATCATTCATCTCGACTCTAATCCTCCTGAAATACAAAAACAAACAACACCAACGAAAGCTCCTTATTTAACCCTCTTTTATGTATTTAATCTCTCAATAAACCACAATGAAATGATAAAAATGTTGCTATTATACATCAAACAACATACACAACTAAGAAACATATCTTCAGTTCATGCATATCGAGGATAATTGAGGCATTGTATCTGGTAGTTTCACTTCTTTACGTCGTTTTCGCTCTTCAGGATGACCCGCTAGTGTGTATGTGTGTGTGTCGTCGGTGGAACAATAACAAGGTAATGATGTAATAATATCTGAGTGTAGAGGATGATGTGTGTGTGTGTGTGTGTGTGTGTGTGTGTGTGTGTTGTAAATGCGTACTTACATGAAAACATTAAGCTGTGTGGTAGATGGTAAGGGAGGCGTAGGAGTGAGAGAGGCGTGGGGTGTGAGGGAGGCGTGGGTGTGATGGAGGCGTGGGTGTGATGGAGGCGTGGGTGTGAGGCGTAGGAGTGGGGAGGGTGGTGTGATGGAGGCGTGGGTGTGATGGAGGCGTGGGTGTGAGGGTTCAGTGAGGCAGGAAGGTGGATCTTAGGGTACACGCCTGTCCTCATGGCAACAGGTGGTGTGAGGTGTGACGTGTGGACTCCTCCAGGCGTGAGCTCTCTCTCTCTCTCCTAACTTGGAATTCCACCTATTAATTCGTGTCTGTGTACGTGTTCAGTTGTATGTGTGTGTGTGTGTGTACAGATTACAGATTGCCCCGGAGGGGGCTAGTTTATTGGGCACCCCCTTACATCCTGTGCAAGGTGAAGCGCAGAAGCGTTTACAGTGCCCAACTGGGAAGCATGCTTACTTCATGCTTGCCTTTATGACTCATGCATTAAGGGCGTGGAAGCCTGAAGGGTCATGGGTTTTGTCAGCAAGTTACATAAAGTGACAGAATGATGAGTGTGTGGGGGGAAATTCCCGGTACATTTCATCTGTTTATAGCAAAGTGTGGCAGGTCCCTTATAATGTCAAGTGCCAGGCCTGTGACTAGGAGGAAGGATATCTGGTCAGGGAGGGAAGAGGTGTTGGTAACGGCTGGGGACCTATAGGAGGAGGTCATAGGGCAAGTGAGGATGTAGTGAGAGAGGGTGTGAGAGTCGGGTTGGCCACAAAGTTTACAAACAGTGCGGTGAGGCTCAGGGTTGCCAATGTACTCCCATAGGTACCTGTACCCTAGGCGCAGTCTCATGTATATAAGCTGTTGAGATCGAGTCAGGGATTGATACTCTTTGTAGTGGAGGTTGTCGTCACCGGTTACAGCGTCATAGTGGCATAGTGTGACGCTACCCCGTTGTTTCAGGTGTGTCCATTTTACGTCGAATGCTTCTCGTTGTGCGGCGTGTATGCGAGATTTGAGATGATTCAGGGAGAGGGCGAGAGTGGCTTCAATATCTTCTTGTGTAGCTTCTTTGGCAAGCCGATCAACAGTGTCACAGGCAGTTATTCCTATATGTGACGGGATCCAAATAAACTTGACACGGATGTCATCAGTTTGTTCTAGCCCGGCGAGGGCGGCTAGGGTGTGTTGGGCGGCAGGAGAGGAGGGGGAGGGTAATTTGAGCCTCGATAGCGCAGAAGTGCTGTCACTGATTTTAGGAGGTTCCGGCGTTCAGTGCGAGCATAGGTCGCCCCGTCATGAATGCCCGCGAGGATGGCTATGCTTTCAGTGTCAGTGGAAGAGGCCCAGTCGTGGACCCTGATTTTCCTGCGGGCCCGGCGCTCAGGAATCCACACAGCTGCCCCAGCGTTGCCCAGCGTGGTAACAGACCCATCACAGTAGACGAGGATAGGAGGGAGGAAGATCGTAAGAGAAGAGGCGACATCATCAATCTGCTCAAGGCAGTTAAGTTTGAGCATATACCACAGTTGGGTGGATTTACGACCAGGGAAGGTGTGGACGACAACATCAACACTCGGGGAGGTCCACGGCGGTAGAGGCGGATGAGTGTACTCGGGAGGGAGAGATGTCTGTGTGTGTGTGTGTGCTTCCCTGGCCCATGGGTGGTAGGACCTTAAGGTCAAGGTCAAGTGTCAACATGGAAGACACCCAATGTCTATTAAACAAGTTAACTCCACCTGATGATTAGGTTAGGTTAATCTTAAGGGGAAATTAGCTGGGGTGTCTAAAATTAAAGTAATCCTCTATGGTATCTACTCCTTCAGGCACACCGCTGTTTCCTTCACCCCCGTTCATTCATTTCTTTCCTGGTCCCCCCCCCCTCCATCTCTGAGTTGTACATGTTCTTTCCATCCAGCTTTCACTTCCTAGTCTCTCGTTGCGGCGATCAAACACACACACACACACACACACACACACACACACACACACACACACACACACACACACACACACACACACACACACACACACACACACACACACACATCATTTTTAACTCTCCATCATTATCCTGTTGGCTGCCCAAGTGTTCACCTCGACTTTCATTCTACTTTCCCCAGTAACTTTCCCTTAGCTACTTTCCACCAATACTTTCTCTCAGGTACTTCCCACACTCACACGACCGAATAATCAGACCCAGTGTTTTTAAGCCACATGAGTCTTCCGTTTTTCTTCACAGTTCATTTACCTTTCCGTTTCCTGTGTTATTCTGTGTCTTTGTGAGGTGGACTTGTGTGTGTGTGTGTGTGTGTGTGTGTGTGTGTGTCGTAATGGTGGACAACGTGTGAGGTTATTACAGCTTGTAAATTATTCTACCTGTGCTTATACCTGTACCTGTAACTGTAATTATACCTGAACTATACACCTGTGTTTGTACCTCTTAACTGTATTTTTAACTATACCTGTACTTGCCATTGTTTCAGTAGTAATTATCTAAATAATATCTCTTTCCGGAGTTGGTTGCTCAGTACCAGTTAAGAATCACCTGTAACCTAACCTACCCTAACCTACCCTAACCTACCCTACCCTAACATACACTACCCTAACATCTGGTATATACTTTCTGGTGCCTCAAAATACATAGGTTATAATACACTTTAATATGTACTACAAATACATATAATACGTTTAGTTACAGAAATTACCTAAAGTAATAAACCGGATTAATAGTTTTAGTTACAGAAATTATGAAAATAAAAATCAATACTTACTTTCCTTCCTGGCCAAGGCTGATGACACACACGGGCCAAACACCATTATCACCATCATCATCATTACAGTCTTTATCACCCTCCACGCCCACTGCACACCACTACGCCTCATCACAATCTCTCTTCTACTTCCCTCACCACCACACACACGCCCACAATCACAAGAATATCTTAGTTTCATGTTAACTTTCAAGTGCTGTTTTTGACTTCATTTTATTTATCATGTCTAATTTAGGTCAAACTTCCTTTCAGTAATTTCTAATATCGCTCATAAGCTTACGTCACTAATTACAGTTGTTTACATTACACTTGTTATCAATATTTAATCACAAGAAGATTTTTATTATTATGTGGTATTAACAGGGAGTGATGCTCAGTCTGCCCAGTGTCCGTCCAGTCGTGTCTCCTCAGTGGGGTGTGTATCCCGTTTTCTGTTGTAGCTCTGTTTGTTTACGTTTTCTTTCTTTACCGGAGATTTTCAACTCAGTTTGTTAATATCTTTTATCTCTATGTAAGTTATTTTTATTCACTATTATTTTAGGTATTTTCATTTGATAGTGGACGAAACTGATGATTTTCTAGACATTAATATTGGTAGTCTGGGAATTTATTAATATATCTGGTATTGGTAGGCCTGATCCTTCAATCTCTCCCTGTGATTGGTAGTCCTGAGTCTGCTTATTTCCTTGGTAAGTCTAGAACTCTTCCTTAAGGTTGGTATGCCTGGGGACCTTCAAGGTTGTGGGGCCTTTCAGTATTTACATTACGGTTGGTACCGCTGGGAGTCTGTCTTCTCTTATACATTCTACTGCACAACTGATGTAAGGGTTGGTAGGCCTGTAATCACCCCTTGTGTTGGTAGGCCTAGAGTCGCCCCTTGTGTTGGTAGGCCTAGAGTCGCCCCTTGTGTTGGTAGGCCTAGAGTCGCCCCTTGTGTTGGTAAGCCTGGAGTTACCCCTTGTGTTGGTAAGCCTGGGTTCGTCTCTGCGATATGGTTGCCTCCGTTGATCTGCGAAAAGAAAATATTTTTACAATAATAATAATAATAATGAATAAAGAGTAGAAAGGGAAGTAAAACTACGAAGAAGAAAAATGTGAACGCCATTAAAAAACGATACAAAAATTAATAAGCACATTACACCTACAAAACACAGTCAACAGGAAACGGGAATGTAAACACTGGCTTGATCAGAAGGGGAGAATTTCATGCGTTTCACGTTCCAATTGGTATAGGTGTAACCCGGTTACCTGTGGTGGTGGTGGTGAAGTGTGTGTGTGTGTGTGTGTGTGTGTGTGTGTGTGTGTGTGTGTGCGCGCGCTTCTTTCTCTACTTTAATTTAACCTAACCAGATCATAACCTAACCTAACCTAACCCAACTGACACGTCGAAGAGCAACACGTCCAAATTTCCTTAAGTCCCAAGTCAAGAGTTATGGCGGAACTATGAACCGCTTCCTGGCGCCGTTTGAGTCACATCCGCCCAAACGTTCCTGCCAGAGGCGTCGACGATTCACACGGGATGGGAAAGTCCTTCGTCACTATCAAAGGTGCTTCAGGAGTCTTAAGAAAGCGTGAAGGATTCTCTTGGTTGAGTATAAGAGAGAACTATGTGTGTGTGTGTGTGTGTGTGTGTGTGTTTGATTGAGCATCTCACCGCCTGAGTTTGTTAAGAAGTTCATCCAGCAGATTTTTGTTGACCTTCCCACCTACACACACACACACACACACACACACACCCAATATAGGTAATACTCTTAAAAAAAATCTTCCCTTAGCTTGATCGACATAACAGGTAATACATCATTGGTTCTTGTTGAAAGGAAAAGTGTTGCGTTTTGAGGTAATCTTGTGATTGTCGTGAGGTGATGTAGAGAATCTTACTCATGTGGTGTTTGAGAACACATCATTATCAGCATCTAGGTTAGAGTTTTCCACTAATTAAATTGTAACACTGTTCTCGTTTGACCTTCGGGAGTGACTCAGTCAATTTCAGTGGTGGGATGATGTGGTTGGTAGAGTGATAGAGTGGTACAGTGGTAGTGTGGTAATGGGGTAGAGTGGTAGTGTGGTACAGTGGTAGTATGTTAGTAGGGTAGAGTGGTACAGTGGTAGTAAGGTAGAGTGGTAGTGTGGTAGTGCGATAGACAGGTTGAAACAAACAGAGACAAAATGATAGAAAGTCAAACGAAAAGGCAGACAGCAAGAAAGTGCAACTAGACAAACAGACAGACAGACTAACAATCAGACAGGTGAACAGGTAGACCAAGACAGATAGACAGACAAAGACACACAGACAGACCAACAGACTAACAGACAAACAGCTGATGAACACAATAATTAGTGACCGTGGCAGACCCAGGTAAATCACATCTGCCATCTGCCGTCCAGTATTGCCATGAATTACTTTGTCAACACTACCACCTAAGCATTCGTGTCTCTTCCTGTGATGACGTCTGATAGTAAACATTGTGGCATTGGTGTTTACATTGAGTCGATGTTTATATAAAGAAAAAAAAACGTTGCTCCGGGAACAAACGTTAGCGAGGCATCTTAAAACGTTCAAGTTAGCCAAAACGTTGATGAGTTCACCTTGATAAAACGTTTGTGTGACAGGAACAACACATCACGAGGTAGGTATGTGTCCTAGAGAAGAATATGTGTCATAAAAGAGATGGTTATGTGTCCTAAAGAAGATAGTTATGTGTCCTAGTGGTGTATGAGTCCTAAAAGAAATAGTTATGTGTCCTAAAGAGCTGTAGGCTTCATGTAGATGGCAAGACAGGCCTGAAGAGAGAGCTTGACGTGATGAAAGAGGAGAAAAGGTGAGAAAATGAGGGACAGGTGGTTAATGAGGCGATTACCTGAAGTGGGTTGACATATGTTGTTGTTGTTGTAAGATGTTTACAGATATAGATAAAATTGAAGAAAATTATATTAGTGTTTTTATTCATTTATTATTATTATTATTATTATTATTAACTAACAGAAGGTAACAGTGTGCATTATCAGTGAGAAATATTTAGGTAGGAAAGACAGTAGACATTCCTCTCCATATCCCTCAGTGAGAAGTACCTAGAGAAAGATAGTGAGAAACATCTACTTACACAAAAGACAACACAGTAGATATCTCTCCCTATACCCCTCACTGAGAAGTATCTATATAGAGAAGGGTGTCAGTAGGGCTGTTTGTGGCGTCTTCCTCAACCAATCTTTCTCTCTCACTAATTACACAATCCGTTTATTTCTCATTTCCTCAATTTATCGTCACTTCCTTATTTCCTGCTTTGTTATTTTGTTCGTCATATTTTTAACCTCCTGTTTTATTATTTATTTATCGTTTTATTAAGTTTTATCATAATTTTTGCTCCTAATTATTCCTGTTTGTGTATTTGTGGTCCATAGATGGTGTACATATGCACGTGTGTATGTATGTATGTATGTATGTGTGTATGTATGTGTGTGTGTGGGAGGAAGGAAGAATAATGTGTGGTGGACAAGAGGAATAGGTGTGTGTGTGTGTGTGTGTGTGTGTGTGTAACACCAACAACAACAACACTACCAGAATAACCACTATCGGCAACCACAATCCTCCCTACATCAATTTGACGTTTATTTAATTTTTCTTTGCTATCATTAACTACTACAACTACCACCATCAACCACCACCACTTCCACCATCATCAACCACCACTACCACCATCAACCACCGCCACTACCACCATCAACCACTACTACCACCATCAACCACCACCACTACCACCATCAATCACCACTACTACCATCAATATCACCACTACTAACACCATCAGCCACCACTACCATCAACCTCCGCCACTACCACCATCAATCACCACTACTACCACCATCAACCACCACTACCACCATCAACCACTTACCACCACACTCACCACTACCACAATCAACCACCACACCACTATCCTACAACACACAACCATAACTATTTACTACACTCACGTATATCAACACAGTCAGGGATGGAGGAGGGAAGGAAGGAAGAGTGTTAGGAGGGAAGGAAGGAAGGAAGGAAGGTTGAGGGAAGGAAGGAAGGAAGGAGGGAGGGAGGGAAGGAGGGAGGGAGGGAGGGAGGGAGTGTTGAGGGAGGGAGGGAAGGAAGGAGTATTGAGGGAGGGAATGGAGAGAGAAAGACGTGAGAGGGAGGGAAGAAGACGAGGGAGGGAGTTACAGTCACTCACCACCAGTTACAGTTACTCACCACAAGTTACGGTCACTCACTGGAACTCGAACTGTTTGTTGTTTTCCACGAAGTTTCAATTAAAAGTCTCAAAAAGTTTTACAAGAATTGACAGTTTCAAACTTTCTTTCGTTTTATTTTCACCGTAACTAAATAAGTCAATGTATCAAGTAACAGTACAGTCTCTGTCTAATTTCGCCGCCATTACTGTCAGTCATTATGTCGTGTACGTTAAGTGTGATAAATAATCCAAGAACAGGATATTAGTTGACCTCTGTTCTAACCTAACCTAACCTAACATATTAAAGTGATGTGACTATATAAAAAATAAAAAAACATGAAGTAACTAAGTAAAATTACACCCAGATCGTAACACAAATATAAAAACACTAATTAAACTGATGTTGCGAATTAATACTGCACAAAATATTAACACAATTAGTTGAAAATATAACTCACTGAGGAGACTGAAGGGCAGGTGTAGTGGAGTACCTAGCACACGCGAGTACGGCGACCATTAACACACACTAACACTAGGTCGTGGGAGCAGAGAGGAGCAGCAGGTCCTCTTCCTCCGCCACACAACACCACACTGACTGACTGATGATAAGAACATAAGTTAAAACTCAGCCACAAGGTTCCCACACTCACACTGGCCTTAGTGTGTGTGTGTAGTTGCCTCGGGCGATTTCTATTGTTTTCTCTTACGCTAACTATCTAAGGATCTTTCTAGGTCCTACGATGGATATTATCCTTCGTAAGCGAAGATGTAGGACTCCATCTGAAGTGTTGAATATACTTTTATCCAGAAATTACAAATTACATTAATTACAGTGATTAAGAAAGTTAAAATAGCCAAAAATGTAATTTACCACAATATCATAAAAAAAACATTATATAATATTTACAATAACCAAGGCATTAGAAAATTTAACGGGATTAAAATAATAAACTCTAGCCTAGTTATTAAAGTACGACAGACACAGACAGACACAGACAGACAGACACACAGACAGACACACAGACAGACAGACACACAGACAGACAGACAGACAACTTGAACTAAAAAATTATACAGTATATCTATTTACCTTTTACATTGTTCATGCTATAATGTATTACTGAGCTTCAACAACTAAAGTCTTTATGATGTTGATGTTAGTTCTTGAATCTCATTAATAAAATATTCAATCGACACAGTACAGTAATAATCATAGTTGGGACATGTGATACGCCTCCTACTCGTGACGTTGAATTTTAGCAGCCATGGAATCTCTTTCTGATTGCGCCCATTAAATCCGGCATATGTGTTTATAATTATGCGTCGTATTGTACTGGGCAAATTGTA